GATGTACAATTTCGCAAATGCAGAGTCCAGGCCTGGCGCGCCGATGGGACAGAGTGCGAGCGGGGCCGATCTTCCTAATACTACCACCAAACCTCGCACCTTCAACGCAACGTCGCGCCAAAACAATTTCACTCCCCACACTGGAGCAAAGCGGTTGGTTGTGAAGAATCTCCGCACAGGATCACGGTTAAACCAGGAATCATACTTCGAGAAGATATGGGGCCAACTTGATGCAGCACTGTCAGCGATCTTTGGCGGTGGAAAGCCTGAGATATCGCTCGAGGAGCTTTACAAGGGTGCCGAAAATGTATGTCGCCAAGGTCGAGCTGCAGTTTTAGCCAAACGGCTCCAAGATCGGTGTCGAGAACATGTGTCTGGAAAATTACGCGATAAATTGGTGGCAAAGGCTGCAGATGGGAGCAACGTCGATACATTGCGGGCGGTTGTTGAAGCATGGTCGCAGTGGCAGTCAAAGCTGGTATGGATAACCTCCGGATATAGTTGGATTCTGAGGAGATACTGACTCTATAGTAGGTTACCGTGCGCTGGATATTCTACTACCTCGACCAGTCATTCCTCCTCCATTCCAAAGAATTCCCCATGATACGTGAGATGGGCTTAATTCAATTCCGGCAGCACATATTTTCCGATGCAGTATTACAGCCGAAGATTCTACAGGGCGCTTGTGACCTTGTTGAGGCTGACCGTGGCGAAGAACAAAGCGTGGTGGCAGACTCGTTATTACTTCGAAATACAATTGAACTTTTCCACGGCCTTGACATCTATACGACTGGCTTTGAACCACTATTGATATCGGAATCCAAGAAATACTTCTCTTCATGGGCCCAGCGAGAAGCAACAGGGTATTTGGCTACTTTTGCGGAGAACAGCCACCGTTTGATTGAGCGCGAAGTGACTCGATGTGAGCTGTTTTCGCTGAATAGGAGCACCAAGCAGATGTTATCAGAGCTCCTGGATCGAGCCTTGGTAACAGAGCAAGAAGATGTTCTGCTCAACCAGCCTGATATACTAGGCCTACTGCGTGCAGGGAACAAGGTTGCCTTAGAAAGGATTTACTTACTCCTGCAACGGAAGGACCTCGGTGCGAAGTTGAAGACCGCTTTCAGTGGTTATATCATTGAGGAGGGCTCTGGGATCGTCTTCGACGAGGATAAAGAAGCAGACATGGTGGCTCATCTATTAGAGTTCAAGCAGCAACTTGACGATATCTGGGTTCATTCTTTCCACCGGAATGAGGAGTTGGGCCATACACTCCGCGAAGCCTTTGAGACGTTCATCAATAAAGGAAGAAAGTCGGAAGCTACTGGAGGTACTGACAACCCCAAGACTGGAGAGATGATTGCCAAGTACGTGGACCGGCTCCTCAAGGGCGGGTGGAAGCTCGCACCTGCACGCAAGGCGGAGGACATGCCACTTGCCGATGAAGACGCCGAAATCGACAGGCAACTGGATCAGGTCTTGGACCTGTTCCGTTTTGTCCATGGCAAAGCAGTTTTCGAGGCCTTCTACAAGAATGATCTCGCTCGTCGGTTGCTGATGGGCAGGAGCGCCAGCGACGATGCGGAAAAGAGTATGCTGGCAAGACTCAAGACAGGTTTGTACAATTCTTGTCCATGTTTCATCCTCAACTCGTTACTAATATTGCGAATTAGAATGTGGGTCAAGCTTCACGCATAATCTGGAGTCGATGTTCAAAGATATGGATGTTGCGCGCGATGAGATGTCGGCATACAGCTCAATACAGCGCGAACGGCGGGACCGTCTACCGGTGGATTTGAACGTCAGCGTGCTTTCTGCATCAGCATGGCCAACATATCCCGATGTTCAGGTGCGGATACCGCCAGAAATTGCGACTGCTGTCGACGATTTCGAAAAGTTCTACAACACCAAATACAACGGGCGCAAGCTCAACTGGAAGCACCAATTGGCACATTGTCAGCTACGCGCAAGATTTCCCAAGGGAGACAAGGAACTGGTGGTCAGCTCCTTCCAGGCGATCGTTCTGTTGCTCTTCAACGATGCTCCGGAGGGTGGAAGTCTCGGGTATTCACAGATACAGGAGGCGACCATGCTATGTAAGTTGCACTGCCTCTCTATCCCCAAACCTACGCAAGTTGGGCCTCTACTGACATGTATCGATGCATAGCTGATCAAGAATTGAAACGAACACTGCAATCGCTCGCATGTGCGAAATACCGTGTTCTAAGCAAGAAGCCGAAGGGCCGGGATGTGAATACAACAGACGAGTTTTCGTACAACGCGGCATTCACCGACCCGAAGATGCGGATTAAGATCAACCAAATTCAGCTGAAAGAGACGAAGGAAGAGAACAAGACCACGCACGAGCGGGTGGCTGCCGATCGTCATTATGAGACACAAGCGGCGATTGTGCGAATCATGAAGAGTCGCAAGACGATCACGCACGCAGAACTCGTGGCTGAGGTCATCAAGGCAACCCGAAGTCGCGGAGTGTTAGAGCCGGCTGATATCAAGAAGAATATTGAGAAGTGAGTTCTTCCGATCCTAACACCAGCATAAGGTATATCATTGCTGACGCAATCGTGTGCAGACTGATTGAGAAAGACTACATGGAGCGCGAGGAAGGAAACCGGTACCAATATGTGGCCTAGAAGTTTGCAGTGGTGCTATGTTGGGTGCAAAGCATTGGGGTTCGACGATGTGGTACTTCGTACGGTGTTGATTGACAGCTCAGAGACCGTCAGAACGAAATGGCATGATAAAGAATGCACTAATACAGTCATGTGTCCATTCTGCTTAAGGACCTTCCCTCCTAGGCACAGTCGCAGCTAGCTAGCCGTGTAGATACAGGGAGTAGTCGTGGCCTTTTCGGGCGCTTTCTGCTAGCAGCGACGGTCGACATAGCAGTAGTAGGTGGGGTGACCGGAATGTCGGGAGAGAAGAGAATGGGGTATCAACTCTACCAAGCAAAATCTAGTACGAAGTAGACTAGACTAGACTAGCAGCAGATTGATCCCTGGCATGGTTGCGGAGCATCGCCGGTCTCACAAGCCTAGTTGGGGACCCAAGGAGAGAGCTTCCATGGGGATCCGTCGGGAAGAAAGAGTCAAGTAGTACATAGTAAAGTCGTGTGTCGCGAATCTGCAACTCTACTTGCGTGCGTTGTATAGGAACCCTCGGTATAGTTGCCTTTTACGATTGCCCCCCATTCCTACCGACCGAATTTGGGGGGGGGGGAAACTGTTGAGGAGTGGACGGATCTAACGTGCCTCACGTGTACCTTCCTTGTCCCTACCTAATTAGTAGCTAGATAGTAACTAACAGCAAACTAGGCTACTAGTTAACCCGCTGCAGGATTGGAACGACTAGAATGTGTAGTGGATAATTGATACAGCAAGGTACATCTGGAGCTTCACCCCACATAGGGGTGAGTATGTGGTATGAATCGGAATTGCTGCATTCATTCAGACTGAATGCTCATTACAGCTTGAGCCCAAAGAGTCAATCCGTCAGCATGGATGAGCTTGCTTGGTTCTTCTCTCGCCCGAGAGACAGGCAGTCGGGCTCTCGGCAGAGAAAAGCAGCGCCAGAAATGTGAGGGAAGGCCGAAAAAGGCAATGGAATGGAAGTGTCAGCCCGTGGAAGGTGCAGCCCATCGATGACTACTCGAGCCGAATCGGGAAGGGGACGAAACGGTCTAGAGCTTTCGGGGGGATCCATCCGGCTTACTATCTATGGAGTACTCCATAGCAACTCCCCCCATAGTAAAGTTAGGGGGGAAAATCCTGGGAACTTTCCATCCGCTCACGTGGATGTCTGAGCTTTTCCTCTCCTTCAGGGACGCGGCCGATCCATCATCGCCCCATCCATGACCCGGCGACTTTGCAAAATGAACTATAGTCATTCTTAGTCTGTCTTTACCGTAGATAATCGGAGAAACCCTTCCCTTTTTTTCTTTTTCTATTTCTTCCACGTATCAACATCCCGGTTTCCTCCCGATGGAGTAAGGATTGCTGTTTCATACTAAAGATCTGACAGCGGAGAAGTCGTGGCTTGCACAATCTCCAACCCCTTCCTTCATGTTTCTTTTTTTGTGTTCATTTTCTGAAGGTCCCATGATCGTTTTTTTCCACTTACTCATCTGTTGGGATTTGGTTCTCTGACGATCCCGTTGCGCAACCCCCATGCGGCTCGGGTGAGGATGGTCAACTTTCCAATATTATTTGCCTTGCACATCATTTGTTGAGAAATGTTGCTCGTACTCCATACATACCTGACCAGTTGGTTTATCTTTTGCCCAAAAATTGAAAGTGACTACGTACTACAGAGCACGTAATGTACTACTACTACGACGACGACAACTACATTGTGGATGCCTGACTTTCTGCAGCGGTTTGCCAGCAACAGAACATGCCGCGACGGATGCCTAAGCTGCGGGCACGGCAGCAGAAAGCAAGCATAGATCATATGCATGCATGTATGCGGTGGTCAGGAATTATATTCCCATGGGCTTTGATATGCAACAACAGTTTTATCAAGCTTATGAATGAGATGGGGGCTGGACTCATGTAATAACTCTCAAACTTTACAGGCGGATAATATTCATGCCCAGGGTACCTGATTGAGTTGAGTGGGTCATGGTCAATACTATCTACCTGATGTCTACAGTGAGTGGTACCACTAGAGTCTACCAGTCATCCAATCCGATATCACTTATCTTCACGGAATCAAGCATACCCATACCCCCTCTTCGCCATCAAGCAAGGCATGCTTTTGTTGCCATGTTTGTGGCGTACTTAAGCATACCAGGTAGTCAATGCCTACAAATCAAGAATTGCCATTATTAGTATTCCTCCGCCACTCAGTAGGGCCAGTTTTAGAAGAATTAGTCTATTTTGCACACGGTACTTTGTATTAGTGGGGTTACTTGTGTAGAATATTGTTGTGTCTCCAGTAAGCTGCAGGTTCTCGAACATCCTTGCGCGTCTCAGCGGCAATCAATGTATCCGGAAAAGGAAGGGTTACGCACCCGTGACATCGCCTTCATTGCGCCCCCTTCCCCCAATACTACTGCCCTGCGTGCGCACGGAGTCGACTCTATCTGTTGGTATTACTAAGTAGTAGATTGACGATCTCATTCTCGACTCAATGCATCTAGGACTAGTACCTACTGTATGTACCTAAGTATGTATGTATGTCTCTGTTGGCAAATCTTCTGCAAAATTGATACAGGACAATTCGATTATCGTGTTCTCATCCGCGAACAGCGCTGTTCATCCCACGGGCTCAGTCGATCTCAGAACCATTGGAACGAAGAGGCAGCCAACTCAACCCTGGTCAGGTAGATAGTGGTTTAGCAGGCCGAAGCCGTACCGATAAAGATTCAGGCCGTCAAGGGATAATTATCCACGAGAATAAGGCAGGCGAAGCGGAATTCCCACAGATAGTAAGCCGAAGCATCCGGAAAGTGACACCAGTCACGGCGGGTAATTTTGGCGGGTTCCAGACCCATGGGGTACAGCGCTAGACCGTAACTGGCTGGGGGCGTGGAGTCGATTACAAGCTCGAGCTTGGAAACTAACGACTCTGGATTTCCTTATCCAGAACCGCATGGTCGATGGGTCGGTCATGCGAAAATCAGAGATTGTTCATGTGAGCAGCAAAAAAAAAAATAATAATAATAATAATCATAATAATATTGGATTTTTTTTAATTTGGAGAATCGGTTGGAAAATGGATCAATCAAGTTGCTCTACTAGTCACCGACTCGACTTACGACATCCTGAAGTACTACTTCCCCCAACACGTCCACGATACTCCGTGTCCGGCCCTTCGTCCTATTTATCTCCAGCTCTCGCACTCGGATTCTGGCTCTCCTCATCGCTTTCTCTATACTCCTCATAGAACCTTCTTCTTCTCCCTCAAGCAATTGACCCTTCCCGGCTTGCTCTCCATCCTCCATTCCAATCAGACTTTCCTCTATCCTTCTCAATCCGCTTACCAAACCTTTATCCGAGATCTACAAGGTCATCCCCAAAGACTTGAGGATATCCGCCAATCGACCGATCCCCCACCTGACAAGTGACCGTGAGTGCGACTGGCAAATGATAATCCCTTCTTTCCATGCCATTCTCCAGTTTTCTCGATGCACGAAAATCAGTGGACTGACAGCTGCCGCTCAAACAGGCGAATCCGATTTCTCCACTTTTTCCCCGCCTTATCCGGACTCTATTCCGAGCCAACGCGCCATCCCCAGAAATTGCCATTATCTGCTTTGGTACGCTTGCTGCGAATGTTCCCGAAGCGTGTGAGAAGGGAAACTGACAAGCCAAGGTCATTCAAGAAAATAAAACCGAAGCTCTAGCGAGAAAGCATATATAAAGAGTTGAAGCAGTCGCCTTTCTGGAAAGTCGACTAGCCCACGATCTCAAGTGCTGAATTCATTGCGCTTGTACCCGTACTTCCTTGAACCCCACTTTCGAGCCGGATCGTGTTCCTACGCGCCCGCCAAACGTCATACACCACCAATTCCCCAGTTTTTTGTTGCGATCAACCCTTTAGATCTCCCTCCATCATGCAAAGTATGTTCCACACACACACCTCTTTTCCAAAGAGCCTCTCTTTTACCTGTTTTTCCCTATTATTCCTTTGCCCCAGGATTTATGCCCCTCTGCGTCAGACCATGCAATCCCAGATCCGGTTTCCACAGCCGGCATGAAGTCAGATCTTCTCCACAAATTTCACTGGATCAGACACTGTCCGATACATACGCTAACGCGGCCATCAGCCAAGCACTTCTTCTCGGACCCTACCCATCTGGTCCAGACCGCTCTGAACTCCCTGACTCTCACAAACCCTTCTCTTGCCTATGACCCTGAAAACAAAATCATTTTCCGTCGTCCGGATACGACGAAGTCCAAGGTCGCGATTGTCTCTGGAGGTGGCTCCGGCCATGAGCCCGCCTTTGCCGGCTATGTTGGCAAGGGCTTCCTAGATGCCTCGGCCGCCGGTACCATTTTCGCTTCTCCCTCCGCAGAGCAAATTCGCAAGGCTGTCATGGACTGCGTCGACAACGAGAAGGGTGTCCTCATCATCCCCATGAACTACACCGGCGATGTCCTCAACTTCGGTATGGCTACGGAGAAGGCCCGCGCCGCGGGTATCAAGACCGAATTCTTCGCCATCAACGACGATGTTGGTGTCGGTAAGAAGAAGGGCGGCAAGGTCGGCCGTCGCGGTATTAGTGGTGGTATCCTCGTCTTGAAGATCGTCAGCGCGCTGGCCGAAGCTGGGTAAGTTGGATCCTTTCGAAGTGTGAGAAGCGTAAACTAAGACGACCGACTGCATCAGTGGATCTCTTGAGGATGTTTACCGCACCGCTCAGTTGGCAAACAAGAACCTCGTCTCAGTTGGCTCTTCCCTGGAGCATGTCCACGTCCCTGGCAGAGCCCCACCAACGGAGACCATCCCCGATGGTGAGGTCGAGGTCGGAATGGGCATCCACAATGAGCCAGGATCTCACCGGGAGAAGTTCGAGCTGACCGAACTGGTCGCGACCATGCTCCTTCAGCTCTTGGACCACAACGATCCCGACCGCGCCTGGATCACTCGCAAGCCCGATGATGAGTTTGTGCTGCTGATCAACAACTTGGGTGGTGTGAGCGCTCTCGAACTGTCGGGTATCACCGATGAGGTGTACCGTCAGTTGAACAGAGACTACAACGTTCGGCCCATTCGGGTGATCCAGGGTACCTTCCTCACCAGTCTGAACGGCCTGGGCTTCAGCATCTCCCTGATGAAGCTCGTGGACACTGGACTGGGCGAGGGCAAGTCCTTCCTTGAACTCCTTGATGCCCCCGCTGAGGCGGTTGGCTGGTCTGCTCCCATCCGTCCTGAGACCTGGGAGCACCGCTCCGATGCTCCTGTTGAGCTGAAGAGGACCAAGTTGCCCGAGGATCAGCCCAGCAACGTCAAGCGTCAGTACCCCTATCCGGTCGATTATCGCGGCCTGTCCTCTCTGGATTTAGCTAACATAGATCATAGTGGATGTTGATTCCCTCAAGAAGGTTCTGGGCAGTGCACTCAAGCGTGTCATTGCTGCTGAGCCTGAAGTCACCCGCTTCGACACCATCGTCGGCGACGGAGACTGCGGTGTGGGCTTGAAGCGTGGTGCCGAGGCCGTCCTTAAGCTCATCGAAGACCCCTCGTCCCCGCTCACCGACGACGTCGTGAACGCGGTGAACCGCATCGTCAGCATCGTCGAGAACGTCATGGACGGAACCTCCGGAGCCATCTACGCCATCTTCCTGAACGCCCTGGCTCACGGTCTCCGCGAGCAAGACCGAGGCACCACCACCCCCGCCACGGTGGATGTCTGGGCTGCTGCACTCTCCTACTCCCTCACCGCACTCTCCCGATACACCCCCGCCCAGCCCGGTGACCGTACCCTCCTGGACGCCCTTGTCCCCTTCTGCACGCAGCTCCAAAAGGCCAAGGACGTGCACGTCGCCGCCAAAGCAGCACAGGAAGGCACCGACTCCACCAAGAACATGAAGGCCAGCCTGGGACGGTCCGTCTACGTCGGTGGTGAAGACGAATGGGTGGGCAAGATCCCCGACCCCGGCGCTTACGGACTCAGCGTCTTCCTCAACGGTCTGTCTGAGGCGTTGTAAGGAAGCTAGAGAGAGAAAAAAGTGTCACTTGCATTCTTTTCTTTTCTTCGGGACCATGTTAAATATATAATCTGCATCCGTTGATGAGGATATTATGGGATATTTCTTGGACTTTTTCTTATCTTAATATAATTTCATGATGATGAATATGATGATAAATTGGCCGTGTTTTTTGCATGTCTACTTCTTTGTATTTACTGTTTAGTTTTCAGTATTAAATGGATAAGATCATGGTTGGATTCATTTTTCTCGTACTTTCATATGAATATGGCAATATCAGATCAAGTAGGGAGGTAGCAACTTCATGCAATGGTCTGCCTTATTTTGAAATTGATAATTGATTGCGTGGATGCGATAATGGTGTACTCGTACATTGTTTTATAGTTTATCTGAGTATTAACAGTCTGAGTATACCCAACCAAGTCAGATACATTTCATAATGCTGGCTAGAACTATTGAGCCCTCTCGAATAAATGCCCCTCCTACTTTTCATCAAGCCGAGATACTCCACTTCAGATTCCTTTTTCTAGCTTTTAAAAAACAAAAGAGTCCGGAGAACGCCAAGTCTGCCCCCGCCGTAAATCAGAGAGAAGAAACGGTGAAATTTGAGATCGGAAAAAATAGCAATATATGAAACGAGAAGGAGAATAAGAGAGCCAAGGTCCGGAGAGGGCTGGATTAAATGGGCGGGGAGGCAGATTGTACGTGATGATGTAATCTAACATCCCGTCCAATTCCGTAAGTATCGCACGACTAAAAGGGTATCGTTCATTCGTCTGTGTCAACTAGAATTTCGTCTCCGTCGGATTTCAGCTCGATCAGAGAGAGAAGCCAAGCCCGGACCGGCCCAGGACCGTTCGAGAAGGGAATTGAGCGCGTCACGTGAACAGTGTTCAGCTGAGCAGGACGAGGATGACGGAGTCACCACGGAGGAACCTGTGATAAGAGGTTGGGTTAGGATGGTTTCTGGTGGGGAGCAATGGTGATTGCTTACATCTTGCTGATGAAGCGGTCCTTGTTGACACCCTTGCCGTTACCACCCTTGGGCTTTTCGGTCCACATCTCCTTGACGTTCTCCAGGACCATGTTGCAGTGGCGGTCAAAGGCCTTGACACGGGCGAGGAGCTTGCGGTTGTTCCGGCAGGAGATCAGGACCTGGGTGTGTGTGCGCGTAGCGGTTTGGAGAAGAGACAAAGGACCGGCAGTGAGCTCATGTTCCTCAACGAGGGAAACCTCGTATTCACTGGATGAGGGGATAGGTTAGCGCATGGATGGCGATGATGGGTGGGTAGATAGATAGATAGATATGGTGTGGCGCGATGAGAATTAGGCGCGCGGGACACTATCCGGATATCGTGGGTGTGATGGGCATGGGTAGTTGGAATGATAGATGTGCAAAGGATCGGGCATCATGTGATAGGAACACGGGAATAGGAAGCTTTGATAAAAGCCGGAAAGAAGAGGAGGGGTTCGATAACGTACGTGAGCTCGCTCTTAGGCTTGTTGAGCAGGTCCCTATTGAATTGCAAGACAAGGTTAGCAATGAGGTCCGGCAGGTTGAGAAGCGGATTACACCATGACAAGAGCTAATGACTCATCGGGATGTAAAGGAGGGTAGGAAAAGAGGGGTAATTACTGGATCTTGGGATCGGTCGACATGGTGGGCGCGAGTATAAATATGAGGTGGGAGGTGCCGGTGCAGAGGAGGACAGCAAGGTCAGGCTTGAACTTGATCGGGGACGACTTGAGAGCATCTCAATCCGCAGCTTCTGTTCTGGAAGCCTGGCTTGGCGCGGGTGCTGTCACGTGCCACGCGTGTTTGCCGTGTTTGAGCGGCGGGAATAGCCGAGCGCGCGATTGGCTGGGCGTCACGTCGCGTCCGACACGCTCGGATGCGCTCTCGTCCAAGCTTCATCACTTCTTCAAATGCAAGGCGTCTGCGCTTTTTCTCTCCTTCCACCCTCACCTCTGTCCCTCCTCCTTTCTCCCTCTTCCCCCCAACTCCTCGGCCTGCGGTTAAAGGGAGCAACCTCCAGTGCCTCACATTGGTTTAATCTCTCTCTCCTCCTTTTTTTCTCTTCTAAATATCCTCCTCTCTCCCATGCCTCAGGTTTCTCACCGCACCCTCTCCTCCTTTCGTTGCTCCGTGTCCCGCGTTGGCATTCCACAGGCTCTTTCCCCGCGACCTCCGTTGCATAGTACATCCACGCCTCGGCATTCCCCTGGCTGACACTCCCGCCAATTGGGCCTTTCTGAGTGGTCGATAACGCTAGACGCATATCCAACGATATTATTACAATCCTACCTTGCTTCGTTTTCAACGGTCGATCTCTTGAACCCTGTTGTTCGGGTTACACCTTCGACACTCCCTTTTCGAAATACCTTCCGAGCAACCCGGCTGCAACCCTCTTCTCTCTCTCCGGAACCTTACAGCTCTCTCACACTACACTCTGATTTTGTGGTCCAGCATATGGTTGATTTCCTTCATCTGGTGGCATGGACTCTCAGGACGGGATTTCCGTCCGGCCTATGAGGCGTGAGTAATTTTTTTTTTTCTTTCGTGGTGTCAAGTTTGTTCGATACTAATTGTGTGGCTCCGAAACTTGCAGTGAAGGTGCTCTACACATTCGACGATGCCAACAAGACAAATTGTCTGGCCCGATGGCCCCATCTTCTCGACATCCAGACTGCTGCCCTCGATGAGAAGACCCAAATTGGGGTCATCGAATTGAAGACCTGCATTCAAGCCATTGTTTCGGCAAGGTGAGTGCTTTCGCCATAGGGTCAACCGACACTACGTGGATACTTATTACAATGGTTTCATGTGACAGTCCGGAACTAGTTGCCAAACTTGGACAGGATTACACGGTGTACGCCTACGACTACTCCGAATATGAGACGCCCCTCGTCGGACAAGGGATGTTATCATGGGTGTTAGCTTCGTCTTCCCCGACTCCCGATGCACCAGCACATCAGTCGGAAACTATGGTCACCGGTCGTGTCTGCAAGAATGTTCTAGGGTTATTTTCGAAAGGTGCACAGGAAACATTGGAGGTCAAATTGCGATTAGTTCCTGTTCCCACAGTCATGCAGAGCGAGTACCTGGACAGCATGCAGAGATATCGCGAACTGAGCAATGTCATTCCCCACGACTTTGACGCACAGGCCTGGACGAATTTTCTTCGCCAAAACCCCGGTCTGCTGGCCCATCGTCCTCAACTGCCCGACCGGACGGCATCGCCTGTGGACCATGCCGGAATTGAGCGGTTCCATCGCCTACTGAGTGAAGGCTCAACGCCAAGGGAGCTTCCCTCGATTGCCGCCAATGGGTCTGTCCGCTCGGTGTCGCCCTCACAGTCTGTGCTTGGTCATGGAAGCCGGATGTCCACCCCTGGCTTCCAGCCATCCGCGCAGCAGCACGACCAAATCCAGGAAAGATCTCACAGCGAACTTATTCGACCGACATCTAGTGCTTCTATGCGCGAGTCTGATCTCCCAATGCATGCGAGATATGCCAGCCGCAGAGGATCCATGCAGTCCGGCTACGGTAGTGGTGATGAATCATCGGAACAGCAACCTCGGAAAAGAGCCAAATTGTATCGTGCGGATTGGCCCGGCAAGTCAGACTTGAATATTGAAAGGCAACCCAGCTCCCTTCGTGTGGCCGCAAGCACTGCGGCGTCCGTGCGTATCCATCGCCCTACCCCCGTCAATCCTTCAATCGCTGCTGCTCAGAGCTCAAATGAGGAGCCTGTTCGCCCGCCAACTCCGATTTCTCATGCGAATGAACTGCCTCGCCGAGCACGCCCCCGGCCCAGCCTCTTGCGTGAGTCGTCAATGCAGAGCACTCCTCAGTACACATCACCATACACTGCGGCCGATGATCACCCAGGTGACCACAACACCCAGTCGCCGGAGGAGTCTCGCTACCAAGGCATCTTCGAGCCTTCATTCAATATGCCGTCTTCGCCTCCCGTTCTCGACTGCGGCTTTCCGAACCGCTCCAGCCCAGTTCTCCCGCCTATGGCCACTGACCCGGATTCAGGCTTCATGAGCGGGGGCATGGACGATCTCCTGGATGAGGATATTGGTACGCCGCTGGAGGACTGCACGAGATCCAATGATGCAACTCGAGGCAAACGAAGTGTGCGTCCTGCTGTGCCAGCGAGCTCACCTGTTGGGCCCATGAACCATGATACTTATCCCGCCAGCGATGCCCTGCCGGATCAAACTGCTAAGGACAAGGTATCTGCGATTCCTCGTGCCCCAGCTAGTGCTGCGGGGTCGCGGCCATCGTCTCGTGCCGGTATCAGACAAACTCCCAAGCCTCTCGCGCCCGCTCCCATGTCGCAAAGCGAACTCGAGCAGCTGATGAGTGCTATCCCGGCGAGTGATCCGGTAATGCCTACCCATGTGCATGTGCCCAACACGCAATCGTGGAATGGTCCAATGAGTGATTTTTCAGTCGCGGAAACACCCGCCCCTCCACCCCCTACTGAGGACGGCAAGGTTCGCAGTGGCGCTGGTGCGAGACGAGTGCGGCAGGTTCAAGCACGTCTTGCCCAGTGCATTCGGGACGGACAGGCTCCTCCTTACTGTGAAAACTGCGGCTCGATTGAAACCCCTACCTGGCGTAGGGCATGGTCCAAGGAGATCGATGGTACCGAAGAAGAGGCCATTGATCTCGTCAAAGATTCTGCTATGTTGTTCTGGCAAGCCGTGGATCGCGATGATCAAGAAAAGGTCACCAAATTCAAGATCTACAAGAAGAGCCTAGTGGATACTGATAAGGACTTTGTTCAAGTCCTACTCTGCAATCGTAAGTAACCCTCCAGTCAGTTCATTCTTTCAGTCACTAATGATATTCTAGCCTGTGGTCTTTGGCTTCATAAGTTCAAGTGCATGCGTCCAGAAAACAAGTGGAACAACAAGTCCGGCAACAACAAGAGGAAGCGCCCTCCCAGGAACCGCAAGGGCGGCGGTCCGCTGTCCGGTAACCCTCCATCGGCGAGGAACCGCGTCAGAGCTGAAGCCGGAAAGCCCGATGCCTCTTCGCCCGGCGTATCTGATGCATCCTCACCTCCAGTGGACGATGGCACTACTCCCCGCGGTGATAACGAGAACAATGAAAACAACGAGAACGAGCCGAGCAGTGTGCAGGACAATGATGATGTCCAGGAGCTCCCAGCCAAGCGACGCCGCGCAAACAGCCTGGAACCGCGCAAATCGACCGATACTGCGGGAAGCCGTTGGCACGAGAATGATCCGGTGGAAGCCCTCCGAGCAGCGATCCAGTCCAGTCCAGCTAGAAATCTTGAGCACCGCAATGCTTCTGCTGCGGGTGAGAATGCTCTTACTCCTAAGTCTGTGAGAAGAGTGCTTTTTCCTAATTCGCACAACGAGGGCGGGCCTTTGCGAGCTTTAGGTGACTCCACCTTGAACAGCCCCCGGCGGAGCCCTCGTGTCAATAGCGGATCGGACAAGCGATCTGACGACAAGGAAAATCAGACTTCTGCTGACCTGGACGACCTCTTCGAGAGTCCCGAGTTTGACTTTGACCTGCCCACCAGCCCCACTCCTCGGCGTCGCAACCCCCGCGCCAGCGTTCTGGGCGAGAAGCGGCACTCCCTTCCCGGCGAGTCGCCTTCGCGGACCCGGAAGGGACTCGGCAGCGATGCGACGCCCACCAGGGTCACCGCGCAAAGACTTCAGCGGATCCAGAGCAGCCCGGGGCCGGCGTCGCGCCACAGCAAAACGCCCAAGCAGTCACGCACGCAGGGCCTTGGGCTTCCCGCTTTGGCAGATGATGCCTTCAGCACGGACGCGTTTAGCGGGATAGACAACATGATTGTGGATATCTTCTCGGACGCACCTTCTGCCAATGCTGACGCGCTTTTCGCACTCGATGCGAACAAGGGCAATTGGCCCGACTGGATCCCTTCGGACTATGTGTCTCCCACGGGTACTGACGGCGAGCCAGCTGGTGAAGACTCTCAGGATCTCATCAATGCGCTGCTGTCTGATCCGGACCTCCAAAAGAACCCCCAATTCGATATTTTCAACTACGTTGACAACAACGTCCTGGACTCTGGCTTCTTCAGTTCCGACGCACTTAACGCCGACAGCTTGGCCCTGGGCGTGAAAGAGAAGGCGTCCGAAGAAGCAGCCAAGGACAAGGAACCCCAGACTACCAATGATGCTTAATGAGTCTCCTTTTTGTGTTATGACGATGCCGACTTTCACTTGATATTTCTTTACCTGTGTTTTTATTCTAGCGATGGCGTTGGATGGATAGGCAATGGTGATGTGCCATCTGCCGCTACTGTCTTTCTTTGGGGATAACCTAAGGCTATGATATGCTTTTGTTGGAAGTGGTTTGAATGGGATGGATATTACGGATGGAAACTTGGGAGGATTGAAGGATTAGAACAAGATACCAGCACTCGATGCTTAACATACAATAAATGAATAATAATTGACAAGCTGTGTTGGTTGTAGTAGATTGTAAGTCAACCGTATAATATTTTGATAGACAGATATCGTAGATTCAACCCAACGCCGAAGAATAACCCGAACACGATGCAAATGACACCTCAGCTGCAGGACACATAAAGATACTAGTAACCACCCAGCACAGCAAGATATCTCACGTAGCTCAGCATGCTCTTTACCCATCCACTAACCCATTCTTTTATACCCCATTATCATCCTCCCTAACAGCCACTCACTCATCATAGAAGATAGGCTTGAGCTTATGCGTAGCATTGACAACATGCTCATAAATTTTGTAGTCTACAATTAATGTCAATTAGCACCTTATCCTTAGCCCCTTCTCCACCTCATCTGCAAGTAAAGAAAGGAAGAAAACCTACCACAATCCGCCGGACTCCCCCAATCCGTACTGCCTAGGACTCTAATACCGACACCCTATATATACACCACAACATCAGCCATTATCCATCATCCATCCCAAAACCAACCCAGCCCTACCCCAAAAAACATCAGGGAGGGGGGAAAGGTATTGAACATACACTCCCATTATCCAAATCAGCAACCTTGCCAATAATCTCGACCAACTTCCCCATCTGCAAATGCGAATCGGGCTTCAAGATGAGCGTCACATCGCCGTGGTTTCCGCACGTCATGGTCGCCGTGTCGCCGCGCAGAGCAGTCACTGTTCCTAGGATGCGGACGGTATGCGAGGTGCGTGGGCCGGTGGAGGAGGGGTGGAAGGCGTGGAGGTGGGAGGGGAGGATGCGGGGGGTTTGGAGGGACATTTTTATTGCTTATTCCTATTTCCTTCTTCTCGTTCGTGGAGGTGGTATTGGTAGGATGGTTTGTTTGTCGTTTCGGTTTGGGTTATAGTGAGGGGAGAATTGGAGAAAGAGCGGCAAGTAATGGTGGGATTGGTGTTGATATTGAAATGGTATTGATCACAGTAGTTTAGGTAGTTAGTAGTAGTAGATGGGATAGGCGCGGCGCGCGTGACGCGTGGTCATGTGACTGTCCGGAGCTTTCTGCATGTCTGGATCTCGGCCTAAGGTTCGATTATTGAAGGCGGAGAGAGAGCGAGAGAGAGCTAAGTATGGACTCCGACTGCCGGTAATTCTTTTTTTACAGAGTATAATCCAGAACAACGCCACGCGCTACACTTCTAATTCAATCTCACTGCTGAAAAGGAGATAAATTTAATTCAGCGCATTTCTTATAAATCCTTAATTGGAAAAGAATTACTATCATCATTCGACATGCCACCTCCCCTCCCCTCCTCCCATCGCGGCATGACCGCAAACCCCATCCGACCAAGCAGATACCGACCCGGCAAAGCCATCGCGGAGGAGCCCTCATCATCGGAAGAAGAGGACGAAGAGGAAGCAGAAGCCAAGAAGGAAGCCGAGAGACAGAGACAGCAGGAACGGCGCAGACTCGAACAACAGCGACGACAAGCTCCCAAGGCGAGCTCGTTTCCTGCGGGCGCGGCGAAGATCGCTCAGGGTGTTAAAGATGTGGAGATTGAGGAGGAGGAAGCGGATGAGGATGAAGAGGGGTTTGTGACGGAGGATGAGGAGGAAGATGAGGCCACGCCTGCGAAGGCGGCTGCTCCTGTTGCTGGCGACAGGGTGGCTGCTGCTGCTGCTGCTGCCTCGGCGCGGACGGCTACGGTGAAGGATGAATCGGAGGAAGAAGAGGAGGAGGAGGATGAAGAGGAAGAGAGTTCCGAAGAAGAGAGCAGTTCCGAAGACGAGGCACCGCGCAGAGTACTTTTACGACCTACGTTCATCAAGAAAGACAAGCGCAACAACGCCCCCGCCCAAACACAGAACGGCCAAGCCGCGACAGGCACAGTGGTGGATTCCTCAGCCGAGACAGAGGAGCGTCGGAAACAGCGACAGGAGAAAGCCGACGCTTTGATTCGGGAACAACTAGAGAAGGACGCCATTGCTCGGAGCGAGGCGAACCGGGCGTGGGATGACGACGAACTCGAGGTAGGCGAAGAAGGCGCGATTGATGATACGGATGGAAAGGATCCAGAGGCCGAGTACGCAGCGTGGAAACTCCGAGAACTGAAGCGCATCAAGCGCGAGCGTGAAGCGATCGAGGCTGCAGAGAAGGAGCGTGAAGAGGTCGAGCGGCGCAGGAATCTCACTGCCGAGGAGCGCGATCGCGAAGATCGCGAATACCTCGCCAAGCAGGAGGAAGAGAAGGAGGCTACTCGAGGCCAGGCCGGATACATGCAGCGGTACTTTCATAAGGGAGCGTTTTTCAGCGAAGACATGGAGCGCGAGGGACTCGCTCAGAGAAATATCATGGGTGCGAAGTTTGCGGACGATGTCTCGCGGGAGACTCTACCTCAGTACATGCAGATCCGTGATATGACGAAGCTTGGAAAGAAGGGACGTACGCGCTATAGGGATCTGAAATCAGAAGACACAGGTCGCTTTGGCGAAGGGTTCCAGAACAGGTCTCGGAATCGCGATGGTGGAGCCCCTATAGGCATTACCGACGAGCGATTCATGCCTGACCGTGATCGTGATGATAGACCTAAGGGACCTACTGGGGCAAACGCCTCTGCTGTGCATGAGAGACGGAGGTCTAGATCGCGATCACGCTCGCCGCGACGAGACCGTCGCGATCGTTCAGCAGATCGGTATAGGCCTGATACGAGCAGTCGCAGGAAACGGAGCCCGTCGCCTTATGAAGATCGGGAGAAACGGAGGCGCGTGAGTGTTTCGCCCGAACGGTAAAGAGAAGCATGAAAATAGGGACATGAAGACCTTCTATTTCTAATCGGCGTTTATGTGGGTATCTTGATATGAAGGATGGATTGGGTCATGATTGATGCATTTCCTCCTGCAGTTAATGTGACCTCCTAGGAGAGGAGAATAGACTCTACCTGCGTGTTCGTTCGGCGGACGAACAGCAACGTAAATATAAACGTCTTGCTGTTGCACATACAAGACACAGATGTTCGAGCGGACTCATCGCGTCGGCATCAACAATGAATGCTGCTGCGACTGTCACATATAAACCGTACCTTTTTCCACACCCAACCGACGTAACCCATAACACCACACATCACAAGAACCCGTTCGCATTCTATAATACTGAAACAAATCGCTGCATAAACAATGGCCGATCATACACCATAGAGAATAGAATAAACAGCCGCCGCACAAGGATATCATTATATATCACATATGCTTATTTAACGCCCGCCCTCTCCAAAACCTTCTCTCTTTCCATAACGCTTTCCCCAAAGCGCAACAAGAATATCGTCCTGCCGGGCCACATCTCCGTAGGCTGATTATGAGCGGTGACCTTCGCCTCGAATCCACACCCATCGCAAACACCCTCAATAATCCCCGCCACGAAGGCGGCGCAATTAAGCATGCTCATTTCCTTCGGCACACTGATATACGTATTAACGAGGGGATCATTATCGGTGATCATATATTCATTAGGCGTCTCGGGGGAGACAGAGTGCTCGAGGGCATCGGCAGGACGATTAAACAGGAGGCGCCAGAGAGGGCCGTGGATGAGATGAAGAAGGGGGAGGATGCGGAGGGGACGATTGGGAGGGGAGGAAGAAGTCGAGGAAGAGCTGGATAGAGCGGAGGATGTGGAACTGGACATGGTGCGGTAGAAGAGGAGGTCGAGGAGTCGGAGACCTAGGGGGTAGCCTTGTTCGTTCAATCTACATTATCAATCATTAGTATATATATATATGGACGTGGGGAAAAGTTGTACGTACCGTCGTTCTAAATCCTGAATTCCCGTTACTCGTCTCTGAGCATAAGTCACCATCTCGGCGAACAAAAAGGCGAAGCTAGCCCGGCTGAGCTCCGCATTGCGGCTGCGGTTCAGGTGTCTATCGTAGATGGTTTTGCGGTTCGATGGGACGCGCAGACCCTGGCTTGATTGGGATTGCGTGTGGATGTGTTGTGCTGGTTGTTGTCTGTCTGCTGCTGCTGCCACGGGGAGGTTTGGACCGCTATTGCTAATGGATAGCATTGCGGCGTGGCGGGCGGGTTGCGCCATGTTGACAGTATGTGTAGGTATTCAGAGTTGGTTGTGATGGATGACGACAAAGGGGTGTGTTCACGCTGAGCTAGTCGGTCATTCTGGTGGGTTCTAGTTTCGAGGGTCAGAGGATATGATCATGCTGGTTCATGAGTGTAGGGTGGAATTGAATGGCCGACGAGAAGCGGGCGAAGCTGTTGATAGATGTCCCTCCGGTAGGCGGCATGGGGGAAGAAGCTACGGGGAGGCAGGGGCACAGTCATGCAGTTTCGGTGATGGCCTCAGGTGCTTGGAATTAGGCTTAATTGAGCCGCATGCCGCCAGAGAAATCTACTGTGTGCTAACTAGAGATTTAAAGAACAATACTTTACGATCTGCAGGATATACAGGTGTACTACAAAACAGCGAGCAAACAATCTTCAATCGAACAAATATCCATTGCGAATAAATCTAACTAATCCCTGAGCAAGCGTCGACGAAGTCTCAACTTGCCCTTCCTCTCTTTCAAATATTAGGCCCTGTCAGGGTATGAAGCTATCAAAGCCAATAAACCTAGTCTAAGCAAGCAATATTAGCATACGCTCGCGGCAAAACCAATAGTGATTCAAAATCAAAAAAGAATTGACGACCAAGTCAGACATCCAAGGAAGTATTGCGCACAGAGCCGTCTATGATGGGTTCATGGCGACGACTAGCGTGGAAACTGCGAATGTAGGAAAAGTTTTCATCATAAGAAGCCTTCGCCTTGACTCAAGGCGAAGGTTCTGGTCGTGTTGGGGCAGGTAGAATGCGTGCGAAGCACAAAAAAAGTCGTGGAACTTACCAAGTTAGTCGCACAACACTATTGATGTGTGTACGAAAGTAAATGTCGCTAGTGAGTGCTATAGCACTCATGGGGAATCATCATAAAATTCCAATCGACCAAATTTAGTCGTCTGTAAAAGAGTTTCTCAACACATGAGTTGAAGTGCGAGAAAAGAGAAAGAAAAATTTCGGTGCGGGAAGACCCTTTTTATAGTCGGCCTCAGGCTGCCCGGGAAACCCGCCGACCCATACGAAGATTCTAGAGAGGCCGAATTTTCATCACCAGCCTCCGCTACGAAAGAAATCGAACGTTCGATTTCTCGCCAAGTTTAGCGCGCATCATTTTGTTAGGAGGTAGTTCTCCTTTCCCATGTTATGTTACATATGTTCATATTCATGTTTATGGCAGTATGCATAAAATTCCGTATTTGGTAATATTGTATATCGAATCGTAAACATGTCCATATGCTCGTTGCTAGCAAGCAAGTTCTTATTTATTGCGCTTTGCTTCATCCACCGGATCGAGACTCTTCTGCCTCTGTCTAGAGTTCCAATTCAGTGTCTTGGAAATAGTGTGCACCCAGTCGTCTCCACGTCGACCCCGGGGTAGAACATTCGCGAATGGATATCGCGATGCGGAAACAGTCACATAATCGCCTGGGTGTAATTCAATCCTGTGTTCTGATTAGCCATCTATTTCTATATGAATTGGTCAACGTAACTCACCTCTCCCGGCCATCAAAGCTGGCCCATGAGCTCGCCCGAGCATCGTAGGGTACTCCCATTCGGAGAACAATCGTATCTGGCAGGATTATAGGCCGGAAGGAGAGTGTATGGGCGCAAATTGCAGTGACGAGAATAACAGGGTTGTCCGGATGAGACAATGACCCTCCAGCTGCGAGGTTATACGCAGTTGAGCCGGTTGGTGTCGCTATGCAAACACCGTCAGCGAGTAGCGTTGTAAAATGCTCATCGTCGCCGAACAACTCAATGGAGGACATAGCTATACAACCAGTTAGCAAGCACTCCATGTGACAAGGTGGCAGCGAGGACATACTAGGATTCGGCCCTCGATCAAGAACAACATCATTCAATATCTGAAGCACCTTATCCGGTCTATGCGTTAACGTATCATCACCCTCTTCTCCAATCAACTCCTCAACCAAATCCCGTTTCCCACCGGGGCCCAACTCCCCCTTCGGCAACGGATTACTTCTCATAATCGTGCACTCGAACCGTAGTCGTAGATTAACGACCACACCATCCTTAAACGCAGCCGACAGCGTCTTCTGATACTCATTGAAGTCAAACTTGGTCAAGAAGCCCAACGAGCCAAGCGAGAACGACAACACCGGCGGCACCACATGCTGAAACAGCCAACTCGTAAACAGCACAGTACCATCTCCTCCGAGCGTAACCACGAAATCAAACAAATGAGCCCTCTCCGCCGCCAGCTCATGGTCCCAGTACTTCAGCCGACTCTTCGCCGACGGCTCCTCCCTCAATATCTCTGCTGCACCAAACTCCGGATCCGTCTCCAACCGTTTCTCCACATACACATTATACTGCGTATCGCGATCCCTCGACAGGAGCCACCTGGCGACCTCCCTCGTCGACCCAATCACCGATTGATCGCCCGCCTTGGTGACCAGGAATACCGTCTTAACCGTGAGTTTCAACTTGATACTGTCCAGCTTCTTGGACAGCTTGCGCACGTTCCACGCCATATCGGATAACTGCTTCTTCGTCAGGTGTCGGGATTGCATCATTTCTTTCTCTATCTCATCTTCGTCGTCCTCTTCCATTGCTGCTTCTTCTTCTTCTTCTTCTTTTTTCTCGTCCTTGGTCCCCTTCAATACCCCCTCTAGCACCTTCACTTTATTCGTCGGATCCCCCCATTCCCCAGCTATCAGCGAGTGCACGAAGCACGCTGTCGTCTGGTCTGCATGCGAGAGATCAGGTCTCGTCATGGGATCGTCTGCCATGACAAGGGAGGATTTGCGACGATGGCTGCATTCGGGTTGGAGGACGACCTAGCAGGATGTGTCTTGTGTTAGTCACTCCAATCACTGCGAGATATCGAAATCTTAAATACCTCGAGCTGATTATGTGTATCTGACGAATAACCATCCGTTCCGCCGCGACTCTTTCAGATAAGTTAGCTTCGTTCTGCGGTGATTATTGGATTTGCTGGACAACCTACGTGATCGCGGTGTAATGCTGGCTCCTCCTCTCCAGCCATGGTGCGTATGTGTGTGAATTTGGCTAATTTGGAATGTTCAAATAGGTCGACTCACGCTGATCGTGATGACACTATTGCGTGGTCGTCATTGTACAGGTTGGTGTGGGTTGATGAGAGGTCGCAAACGGTGAAAGAAAGGCGGCGGGTATGACGTCGTTGCCGGTCCGGCGGTCATGGTGCATGAATTGGTGTCAATGTGATGGAGATGGTATGGATGCAGAAATTGGGATTGTTGAATTCGGTTGTATGTGTGTTAGTGGGATATCTACATGGATTATGAGGCTTAAAGGGGTTATTGTGATGGTTTGGTGGTGATTGTAGGTTTGGTGTGGTTGTTGCTTGTGATCATGCGGCAATAATGTAGATATATATTTTTAGTAGTGGTTGACGGGTAGTGATACCCTCAACACTATGTCCTCCTACATGACATTGTCGATGGCATTAACTAGTCTTCAAAACCCATACCAATGGTACTAACTGCTTCCTCTACGACCATGATGCAATACACAGGCAAATACTACAAAATAATGTACACAGAATTGGCAATCCATAAAGTATACAACTAAACACCGACCTCTCAGTAACCAGTACCCACGCAGCGACACAAACACCGCACACACCAACTACGTACTACTTAACCACAACAAACCAAAGGTTCAACCCCATCGTTCAACCTCACCCCAAACCCCGATAATAAGCGATCCCTATCAAC